CGTTTGGAACAAACTTGACGTACGCGTCCTCTCAAGGTCATAGTATACAGCAAGCGCTCTACGATAACAACTATAAACTTAATAATTTGGGAAACATTTTGTGAACCAAAAAATGTTGTAATTTATAGATCATGTCTGTAAAAACGGTGTGTACTTGCACATGCAGAAATATATTATTATTATTATACGAAATGCCAGTATAAGGTCACCTCGTGTCCTACGATACGACAAGGGCAAAAGATCTAGGCGTTTTAAACGTTCATCATAAGGGAGTTTAGAAAGACCCTTCACTAATTTCGTTCCGATACGCTGGACACGCTCAAGTGAGTTAGTTTCCTTTACCAGACATCGGCTAGCGGCTTGGATACAGTACTCTAAATGTGGTCTTACGTATATGGGATATAAAATTCAAAAAATTTCCTCGTCAAAATATTTGAACGCTCGAGGAAGTGACCATAACGCACGAAAACCTTTGACAGCGGCTGCGCTGCAATGCGTAGTTTTTAAGTCATGACTTATTATTACTCCTAAGTCTTTATGCTCTTGAACGCATGGAAGAGGTTTATCATCAATAGTATAATGGTAACTACTAACGTGACCGATGTGCATTAGCACAGTCTTTCTAGCATTGATTTTTAAGCCCCACTCTCGAGCCCATCTAACTAAATCGTCTAAGTCAGCTTGAAGATCCAGATGATCAGACGCACTATTTATTGTTCCCAATATTTTTACATCATCCGCAGATAATAATGTCGACGACCTAAGTAACAGCGGCAACTCATTAACGTAGAGAAGGAAGAGCAGAGGGCCTAAGATGGTGCCTTGGGGTACACCAATTTTGCCCGGCTTCCGATGGGCTAGCGTCCCGCTAACCCTCACTCTCTGTCTGCGGTCACATAAGAAGTCTCCTAACCACCCCTGTGCAGTACCTATTATCCCGAGGCTCGTGAGCTTCTGCAATAATACCTAAGTGTGAAACCTTGTTAAATTCTTTACTAAAATCTATGAATATCACATCGACCGACAGATCTTTATTTAAGGCTACTGTCTAATCCTCTCTCGCAATAATTAAGTCAGTCAAGCATGAACGCTCGTTACGAAACCCATGTTGCTCAAGAGCTAACATATTGTGTGAATCTATGTGGCTTGGCAACCTAACCCGAATTATCTTTTCAAGCAACTTAACAACAGCGCTAGTTAGACTGAAAGGCAGGTAGTAAGTTACGATCTGTCTCTGGCCATCCTTAAATATAGGACTGACTTTAGCATCTTTCCAATCTCTAGGTAGTTGAGCGTGTGAAATGGACATGTTGAAGAGTGTCGCGAGCGGTTTTGAAATAATGTCCGCAAGAGATGACAGCAGCTGTGGATGTAATCCGTCAGGGCCCGGTATCTTACAAGGTTTGGGGCTAGTTATCAACGGAAGGATAGTTTCCAGAGTCACCTGCACAGATTCAATGGCTGGTATCTCGGTGTGAGTGGGGCAAGTATTTGTTACAATAATCGTAGAGTAGACTTCGCTAAAATAGTTTGAAAAGTCTCAGCTTTTTGCCCGATCTGATTCAGCTAGTAAATCTGCATTTTCGTGTAACAGTGACGAAGGAATACCATCACTACCTTAACCTATATATATTAACATTTCTATTGATCTTTATTAACTTTGTTGATACTATTTGCGTTTATATATCATCTGGTCCACAACAATATAAGTTAATTATTACAAATACAATAGAAAGTTGGGACTTTACTTAAGTTCATCAAATTGATGCGTGTTCGGCTTTGGTCTGGTACTAAGAAACCACAATTATAAATGCTTGATAATTCCGATCTGGTTGACGAACTCTCCAGTGATATAATCCAACGTCGGATGTGATATATTCCAATTACAGTCTATAAATGTAGATAGTATTTGATTTAGACTTCAGTTAACTCAATCACAAGCGAAGATAGAACGAGGAATGCGTGAGTAGTAGTGTATTTGTTAGCCAGCAAGAGCTTGTCACGCTGTGTCAGTATCACAACAGAAAGTTTGTTCAAGGTCATTTACTAAAACAACAGTTACAGTCATTAATGTTAAATATACATACAGTGAAAGGTTGACAAAATAAATACAAATACTAATAAAAACTATTTGCAAAATAAGCTTGTCAGTCATATCTCCACAGTGTAAACTGTAGTTTTGATGCGTAATTTACTATCAGATCAGTTAATTTAAGTCAACGAGAAACAATACTACTGTCCTTCTAAATATATTTAACTCGATGTTTCTCAGTGACAACTTTGCATGTTATTCATACTTTCGATAAGTTTAGATGATGTTTGAATACCTCAAAGAAACTCAAGAAAGCGATAAGCGCGTGTTGTAAAGTAGTAGGGTTTAAGTAAGTGCTTAGTAGCTTCAGTCAGTAGGCGATACCACTGAAATACTGTCTTATCTGAACCCTTGGCTCTTAGTGACTCTTTTGTTATTTTCATATCAACACTGAGTATCTCTCTATAATCTGCTAGTTTTATCGCTTACCAGAGTCGTTTAAACCACACAAAATGACAGGTACTTAGTGAATAATTACATGGACCGAAGCCTATGCGAAACGTTGGGTCGTCTTCATGAAAATCGTAATGTTTTACTGCATTTTGTTGCATATCTATCATTCCTTGGCTTCTCAATCTCCAAATTTTGGGGAAAATTTCCGTTTTGGGAAAATTGTAGGAAAACCGCTATAGAAAATTTTTGGGGAAATGACACAAAACCCCGAAAACTTAAGGGACTTCCTCAAAATAACAAGTACTTGTTATTATTACCGTATTTAGGTGGATGCTTGTGTGAGTTATTTTATATGTGATTGGTTCGTCCATAGATTATGATCTTGCCCTGTCTTTTAATTCCTCGTATTTAAGGCCGCTGTTTTGTAGTTCTCAAGGGTTTGATTTCTACTAATTGAGGCTCGCTGTTGGTCAGGTGTGCAGTTAATATCGTTGTTTTTTCTATCCTACCTAATGTTTTAAGGAAACTCAGTTCTGTGTTGACTTACGACAAACTTCTGGTGTAGTTGTTGCTAGTCAGACGTGGAGATGCTAAAGGAAATTCACGCGTACAGTGGGAACTTACAACTGTGTTTCGAATCATATCCCTGTTAAAGGCATTTTCAAAATCTTAATCATGAACTTTTTCTATGCCTTGATCAATAATGACCAACCTAAGTGTAACGAAAGACAATTGATTCCTAAAGTAAAAAACATAGTCTGTTCGTTTTGTTATTGTTTCAATAATAAATCATCTGACTTCGATCTTTAAGGTTAAATCAGGCTCTTCTGTTCCCGATCAAATGGCTTTTCTAACAAAACCTAGTGGGATGTCATTGATAATGTTATTAATAATGTGATCCACTGATGAGTTTCTGCACATGTAGACAATAAAGTCGTGATATTTGTAAATTTAGGTTTCTTCTCAACCACTATCAAATTTGTGTGACAAAATAATCTACATATGTTTTACCTCTCCTTCCTGGTTGTGACTGCAAGCAGGGCTTAGAAAAATTTGAGTACGAGCAGTTACTGTGTGTCTACCGACCTTTTGTTGCTCTGATACTGTGACAATATCATATGAAGGTAAAGTAGTAAAAAAAACAGATTTGATCATTTCTACTTCTAAATTACTGCTTGAGGGTGTTTTTTTTCAACGTCTGACTAATGTATTTGACGAGACTCTAATTTATGGACGACCTTTGAACGAATCTTCAGTGACATTGAGAAATATTAGCTAAGTAGCAAACAGTCAATATAAAGTAAAAATATGTTATACATAACCAGGGAAATAATGTGGATACAATTCTTATACGTGGTTCAAAAACTTATCAAGGTTAGAAAGAGGTTCATAGGTTCTAAAATCGTAATGCATGCAGTAGAGGAAATCATCCATACGGCTACAGAGTAGTCGGCCTCTGGAGCCATGATAAAGTCTCAAAAACTCCTTCAGCCTCGACTATATAGCTTCAATATTGTTTATGTGCACTCCGATTGTTGAGTGCACAAAATGCTACTTGTGGATAACGATACGATGCCATAACCAAGCCTATGTATGAGTCTGTACGCTCTCCAAACATCCGTATATATATAGTGGTACCTGGTTGCAACCAATGTTACTGGTGCTTTTATTATCCGTTTCGCAATAATTGTTGTAATTTGCCGTAGTTTGGAATTATATATGGGGTTTTCATCACGAACTGATATCAGCTCTAATGCCAGGAATTTATTTAGCCAAATGGATGAAAGGTTTTCGCGTTATCTTGTACCTGATTGATTCGTCCACGAATTATAGTCTCGCCATTGTATTTGTTATAGCCGCTCATTTATCACGTTTTGTACAAAATTCCCTGAGAACCGATCGTACGTTAGCAATAAGCACTGAAGTTGGCGCTGTAACCTTGAAATCTCTAAAACGCTTCTGATTGGCTCGTCCATAGATTAGAGTCTCGCCTTTATTAGTAAAATTGAGGATATTTCGATGAGACATAGCTTTTAACGCATGAGTCCTGTCTGAACTCAAGAAATGGTCATTTGCTCATTGATTATCAGTAACGTTAAAAACTGCTAACTCCACAGAGTCGCTACTAACAGAACAGTAGTCATGATCATGTACAATGTCAGCGGTTGTCAAGGTGTAGCTATATCGATTATCCGTCATATATGAACATCCAGGTATTCTCAGATAACTGTTTTGATTAGTCAACTTACGAAAAAACGTTCGAGTCGTTGCTTATTCTACTCTTTCTGATGATACCAATTAGTAACCAGTCAGCATTAACGCAGATCCTGGTAACTTCAGATTTAATTGATTCTCCATTAGTAGTTTACTCACAAATTATTTTTAATTTCAGTATTCACATTTTCAGAATCTTATATACACCTCAACCACTTTTGTACTTGCTTTAGCTTCTCATCATTGACCGAATACAGTGAAGACTATAGTTCGTAAAATTCGACCTAGTTGATCAATACAGATGGATCTGATTTGTGATGTGCTACGCATGAAATTAAGAGGACATCAACATCGCCTTCTGTATTTTGATAAAGAGTTGAAATATTTACAGGACCTTATCACATCCACAGTTTCAAAAGGTGAAAGTAGCTCTATATTGATAATTGGTAGAAGAGGTGTTGGTAAACATCATGTAATTTTATGTAGTATGTATATTTTATGGCTTTAGCTAATCAAAGAAGCAATAAAGAAAGCAAGAGAAAACTCAAATATTGGCTCTGGGATTTCTGAAGTTTACTTAAACGGTTAGTATTATTTGTGATTATGACTAGTGATTTCTCTTAACGTAGGTTTAATTCATACAGACGACCGTTCTGCAATGAAATCACTAGCTAAACAACTACATAATGAAGCCCTATTAAATAATCTAGTCAATTCAGACTGTAATCCAGCTTCTGATTTTCACAACAGTATGAAAAATTTGCCTTTTTCTCAACAGCTCAATTTATTCTTAAATGAGGTCCGTCAAAATCATGAAACTCGAAAAGCTGTTCTAATTGTCCTGAGTGAATTTGATCTTTTTGCTTTACATCATAATCAGTTGTTGTTGTACAATTTATTCGATTGTTGTCAATCTCCTGAATCTCGTATTTGTATCATCGGACTAACATGCCGTTTAGTAAGTTTTTAATACTTTTCTAAAATTAAAAACAATTCCTCAAAAAAACTAGTTGTAGTGAGATTCATCTTGGATGTAACACTTTTTTTCAACACATTTTGTAACAGGCTATCCATCACCTCCAGTTGATTTTTTGTGTGAATTCCCAAGCACTTTTTACGTTTAGTAAAATAAATTCACAAAAGTTGTTTGATATTTTCGTATATTGTCCTGAACTATTCCTAAAGGTTAAAGGTACTTGACTTTCAATCACAACAGGTGTTACATATTAAAAAACCAACTCCACCTGCTTGATTTAGGGACCCATTGTTGGTTACTATCTCCCGAACAACTAAATTGTGGCGCTTATAGCCTTGTGCATAAATCTTGTATGTTGTAAATGAATTGGATCACAATATGTGGTGGTCGTGTGTGATGTTTTTCAAATTCATCTCGATGAAATAGATAAGTCGATGTCCTAAGCCATATATTAACTGTGTAGTTATTAAGTCTTGTTATCCGAATCGGATGATTTCATCGTTTAGTATTCATCGGACACTACCTCACTCAACTAGTCCATCAAATCAGAACGTGGTTTGGAAAGGTACGTAATTATATTCCAAGTAAACCAAGTTGAATAGATGTGAGTTACAGTAAAAAAACATCAATATATTTACAGTTTTACACAAGAAAACTTTAGTCTTTCAGTTATCCACTGGCGCTGATAGGCTAAGAATAAACCAATCAACGTGCTCAAACATAATTCTGCATGAATGTGCTTTAATCCCAATTTACGTCCTGCTGGCAACACACTAAATGTCAATTCCTAATAGGGATTATTATTCAGTCATCTTAGTACAGATTCAGGTTGAGTTCAAACCATATTCTACATATTTCGTTCTGTTTTGTTCGGAGCTTTATCGTCAAGTTCAATTCTATCGGTGTACTTAATAGTCTATTTTCTGAACTTATTTATTGTTATTAAATATCCTTACTAGCGATATAAACCTGTCTTTTTTCATATTTTTTTATATGTCCCTAATATATGTAGTCAACTTAACAATCATATAACGATGTTGATTTCCGAGTGTTCTTTCGAATCAGTTTACTTCAGAATTCAATATTTATATCGCCTTTTTTGCTTTTCTCCACATAACATAGGATGTTATGGAATTATTAGAAAAACGAGTTAAATCAAGATTCTCGCACCGTCAAATTTATCTTACATCACCTGGAGCACCAATTGAGAATACTGATTCCTATGCATCTGACAACAACGACAGTAACAATAATTCACGATCTGAACCATTTAAACGATTTTGTGAAATTTGTAAACACTTGTTAAGTGTTGATATTCATGATCTACCACCACAATTATCACCATTATTGTGTAAATCTAACTCTAAAGGGTATCATGAATTAGAGTTGTCAATTAAATCGTGGAATCATCATATTACAAAATTAATGGTTGATGAAATTGTAATTGATTCGTTAAGACAAGCATGGTCTATTTCAGTGAGCATTAAACGTTTGGTCAAATTGTTGGTACGTTTTGTTCATGTATCCACTAAATTGTTATTGTTGTTGTTTTCAATGTTTAAACGGTGTTTTTACGTCCTTCCACTTGCGTTTTCTTTTTTTACGTATTGATTTTTAATTAGCTTTTTTCTCAATATCTACTTGTATTTAGGTTTATTTGTGTATTTGTTAGTGATGAAGAGGTTTGTAGACTAACTAAATAACTACAAACTATGTCTAGATTTCGCTTTTGAAGTTAGCTTTTCCAAAGTAGTAAGTTACTGACTATATAGTATCTAGAGATGCAACCAACAAGAAACCTTACTTGACCAGAGTTTCCTGCTATTTGAGTACTCGTCAGCAAAGCATATCTACGATTTTGCAGGAACTAATCCCCCGTTCCGTGAAATTAAAAGACTCATCACCCAACTTCGTAGTATGAAATGTTACCACTAAGCTGTTTGGGCAATCATTAACATATGGGAAAGATATTTTCAATTGGTTGATCGCTGAGTCCTGTCATTAGTATCATACTATCCAATTTATAAAATCAAGTAAATTGAAATTGTTTCTTTGTCCTCAACTTACTTTCTTGATGTTTGACCGCCTGTAGCTCTTATAGGGTTGCTGCCGGTCCCGAGCCCGGGTAAAGGGGAAGGGTTGGGCATGGGTCAGCGACCCCATCCCGTAGAAAACTAACTCGCTAAAAAAACGCTTACCAGAAAAAATAATCCAAACCATTTTAACTCTGCCCTGGGAGTTAGAAGGTCTTCATTTAGAAGAATTATGACGCTTCATGGTGAAAGCCGAGCTCCTTCGGAAGCCAAGAGGCCGATGCCCCTTCTAACAATCAGAGCAAAAATTTTTATAGGTACATGGAACGTTCGAACAATGTGGGAAACCGGGAAGACCAGTCAAATAGCAATGGAAATGAGGAGATACAACTTAGCAGTACTGGGAATCAGCGAAAACCATTGGACCGAAGCTGGACAGAAAAGGCTAGCTACGGGAGAGATGCTGCTATACTCCGGTCACGAAGAGGAAAATGCTCCGCACACTCAGGGAGTCGCTCTAATGCTGTCCAGAGTAGCACGAAATGCACTTGTAGGATGGGAATCTAACGGATCCAGAATCATCAAAGCATCATTCAAAACAAAGAAGGAGGGGATCACAATGAATATTATCCAATGTTATGTACCCACCAATGATAGTAACGACGACATTAAAGATCAATTCTACGAGCAGCTGCAATCAATCATAGAGAAATGCCCAAGAAAGGACCTCACCATCCCGATGGGAGATCTAAATGCCAAAGTTGGAATAGACAACACCGGATATGAAGATATCATGGGATGACATGGACTGGATGAGAGAAACGAAAATGCAGAAAGGTTTGCAAATCTATGTGCATTCAACAAATTGGTCATAGGAGGCACAATATTTCCACACTAGCGTTTACACAAGGCTACATGGATCTCACCGGACCACTACTGAGAACCAAATAGATCATATTTGCATCAACAAAAAATTCCGAAGGACAATGGAAGATGTGAGAACCAGGAGAGGTGCTGACGTAGCTTCAGATCACCACCTAGTTGTAGCCAATTTAAAACTGAAGCTAAAAAAGAACTGGACAAGTGGACAAACAGCAATACAAAGGTTCAATACAGCCTTCCTTCGAGATACTGTCAAACTCAATGAATTCAAGATAGCTCTCAACAACAGGTTCCAAGCCTTACAAGATCTACTGAAAGAAGAAGAAACTACTATGGAGGACAACTGGAAAAGCATCAAAGAAGCATTAACTTCAACGTGTCAAGAGGTTCTCGGTCTAAAGAAATACCATCATAAGGAATGGATCTCTATAGAAACACTGGACAAGATCAAAGAAAGGAAGAACAAGAAGGCAGCAATAAACAACAGCCGAACACGAGCAGAGAAAGTCCAAGCACAAGCTGAATACATAGAAGCAAACAAACAAGTGAAGAGGAGCATTAGAGCCGACAAGAAGAAATACGTGGAAGAACTAGCAACGACGGCAGAAAAAGCTGCTAGAGAAGGAAATATGAAACAGCTTTACGATACAACGAAGAAACTATCAGGGAAATACAGTAAACCAGAGAGGCCGGTCAAAGACAAAGAAGGCAAGCCAATCACCGAAATTCAACAACAGCGTAACAGATGGGTAGAATACTTCGAGGACTCCTGAATAGGCCGGCTCCAATGAATCCACCGAACATCGAAGCAGCACACATAGATCTTCCTATAGATGTCAATCCACCAACTACGGAAGAAATTAGAATGGCCGTCAGACAAATCAAGAACGGGAAAGCAGCGGGACCTGACAACATACCAGCTGAAGCACTGAAATCAGACATCGAAGCAACCACAAGCATGCTTTATCTTCTATTCAAAAAGATTTGGGAGGAGGAACAAGTGCCAATGGACTGGAAAGAAGGACACCTCGTCAAGATTCCAAAGAAAGGAGATCTGAGCAAATGTGAAAACTACAGAGGCATTACACTACTGTCAATACCAGGGAAAGTCTTCAACAGATTGTTGCTGAACCGGATGAAGGATGCAGTAGACGCCCAACTTCGAGATCAACAAGCTGGATTCCGTAAGGATCGGTCGTGCACAGACCAAATTGCAACACTACGGATCATCGTCGCACAGTCAATTGAGTGGAACTCAACACTTTACATCAACTTCATTGATTATGAAAAGGCATTTGACAGTGTGGATAGGAGAACGTTATGTAAACTTCTTCGACATTACGGAGTTCCTGAGAAGATTGTCAATATTATCCGGAACTCATACGACGGACTACAGTGCAAAGTAGTGCATGGAGGACAGCTGACAGATGCATTCCAAGTAAGGACCGGAGTCAGACAAGGCTGTTTACTCTCTCCCTTCCTCTTTCTTCTGGTGGTCGACTGGATTATGAAGACCTCAACATCTGAAGGAAAACACGGAATACAATGGACAGCTCAGAATCAATTAGACGATTTGGACTTCGCAGATGACCTAGCCCTCCTATCACGTACACACGAACAGATGCAGATGAAGACAGACAGTGTAGCAGCAGTCTCTGCATCAGTAGGCCTCAGCATACACAAAGGGAAAACTAAGATCCTCAAATTCAAAGCGGAGAACAGCAATCCAATCACACTTGATGGCGAAACTCTGGAAGATGTAGAGTCCTTCACATACCTGGGAAGCATCATCGATGAACAAGGAGGATCCGATGCAGACGTAAAGGCGAGGATCGGCAAAGCAAGGGCCGCATTCCTACAATTGAAGAACATATGGAACTCAAAACAACTTTCAACCAATATCAAAGTAAGAATCTTCAATACGAACGTCAAGGCAGTTCTACTGTATGGAGCTGAAACTTAGAGAACTACAACAACCACAATCAAGAAAGTACAAGTATTTATAAATAACTGTCTACGCAACATCCATTGGCCGGATACCATCAGCAATAGCCTTCTGTGGGAGAGAACAAACCAACTTCCAGCTGAAGAAGAAATTAGGAAAAGACGATGGAAATGGATAGGACATGCATTACGCAAATCGTCAAACTGCATCACGAGACAAGCCCTAACTTGGAATCCTGAAGGGAAGCGAAAAAGAGGAAGGCCAAGGAACACATTGCATCGGATAATAGAAGCAGATATGAAAACGATGAATTACAACTGGACGGAGCTAGAAAGGATTGCCCAGGACACGGTTGGATGGAGAATGCTGGTGAGCGGCCTATGCTCCTTCACGAGGAGTAACAGGCGTAAGTAAGTAAGTATTCTACCAAGTTGTTTACTGATGCCAAATTGATAAAAGTATGATTTTTTAAAAGATTATTGAACATTTATTTCGATGTTTCTTATTTTGTCTAATAGTTTTTATCATTTGAACAGTATTATTATCCCAGTTGATCTGATGTATGTTGATTAATATACCCAAATTCATGATTGACTGTTTACCAACAGTGTTTTAAATGTATTAGGCTACTAAGTAATACATTTGTAGCGAAAAATGTCTGATTGTCATGGGTAAACACACTTATTTTTCAGTTGTGTAGTTAGTCGTACTGTTCCTTTCAAATCAATACTTTCCATGTTCATTTGAACAGATTCCAATAGTTGCTTCGCTTGGACCTGAACACGATCGTATTGAACCAGTGCAATTTATAGAATCTTTATGTACATTACAACAAGATTCAAAGCTCACTGCACTGAAGGGTGAGTGTCCCACAAATTTTGTTTATTTCTATTGAAACAACGAATATCATTGTCTAGTATCAAAAATAGCTTGGTTATCATTAGTATAACATTGCTACAGTCAAGTTTTCAGGGAATATGTTTTTCCTCATTTATACAGTAGCTAAGATTTCAAAAATACCAAATTATATGTAGTGGGGATGGGAATTTATGAATGAATCAAATTCTGCTTATTGATTCGCCCCCAAAAATTGTATCACTGATTTTTTTATTGACCAACACAATAGTTATCGTGATTCGTAAAGTTATGTGAATTCTTTGTTATGTATAAAGTTACTTCATTTTACTTGCTACTCCGTTTATTGTTGTTCGATTACAGTGTGAAGTAGTTCAGTTATCTACCAAAAATAGGAATAGATACATTTGAATAGTTTTATTCAGCTCTCCATTTTGTAGGATCACATTATCGTGATCCATGTTTGTATTTTATTGACTTAAATGTTTTGCTAAATCAAAACTTTAAGGTCAGTATTTATTTATTGTGCACTGCATTTTTTGCTGACATGTTTTGTTAATGAAGTATTATCCGTCAAGAAACAATAAAGCTACCTTGATATTCTGGTTAATATTGGGGTGATTCTGTGGTGGAATAATAGATTTCATATATTGGGGCAAGTAAGGCGACGTAATTTAATGTTTAATCACGAAACCGCGAGAGAAATCCCAACAAAACTTTTCAAAATGTCAAACGGCTGATTATTGAGCTTCGTGTTCCAAATATTATTTACCTGTTATTCATACTGTAAACAATTATGCCAACTTTTATGCTCATAAATTAATGATGAAATGGAATGATAAAAGCATTTGTTTTTATCGTCATTTCTAATCTTCAAATGGCAGGTGTCGATTTTCAACTGGTGCATCACTGGTTCCAAATTTTCTTTGTCAAAGAAAGACTGAGCAGTCAGACAGCACAGTTAGCATTCATAGTGTATCTTTACAGCAAACTTGTAGATGCAAATATCTACATGGTTGTTGAGTTGAATTATATTTCCTTGGAATCAAGATTTTATTAAAAACCTTGCATTTACATAGAAACACGTTATTTACTTTTATTCGTGTTCAATAGGTTGTTCCGTATTGGAGCTATTTTTAATAACTGCCATGGTCAAACTTCAAGATATGAATGATGGAAAACCGGTTAACTTTGAGAGTTTGTATTCTGGTAAGTTAGTCTTTTACAAATCAATACTTAAATATTGTGTTTTGGTATGATTCAGTAACAAAATTGTTAACGGTAGAAAAGTAATAAAGAGGTTTTCTTAACTCATATCTAATAGCTCCCGAATGCCCTAGAACCGCCGTGTCGGGAGAGTCCATTCTTCTTCTCAAAATGCTCTCACATGGCCACGCGTATGTAGCCACCACCAGGAAAGTCCTACTCGCTGCCTTCTCGCCGTGTTGTTTACGAAATTGAGAGGACGGAAAGTGAATGTCTGGCAATTTAACCGGGTTGGTGGATACGGAGGATCCACCTGGGAGAGTTGGAAAACCCTGAATCCAAATCACTGACTCCAGGATCCTGAGGGGACAAATGGCGTACGAACCAATCGTTGGTTACTGGTTACCATGGGACCGCATCTCCTGATGTTGCTCCACTGTCTTGTGCATTAGACCTCTAGGTCAAAGGCTCGGGTAGTGGCCTTCTAAGAAGATTACGTTCTTCGGTTTGGGCTCTCGAGCAGTACTCTAGCTCACACAAATCGAATATATATATATATATATATTCGGTGCCTCCTCGTACCAATATTTCTGTTTAAACAAATAAATAAGCCAAGCTAAACCTTTCGATCTTGCACAGTAAATTTAGTTTAAAACAGAGTACGTGAATTTATACTTGGTTACTTAGTTGTCTTTTTATCATTCTCTGACTTATCAATGCACCACTTTCTAAACATCTTGTTTTGTTTTGAAGGTTTACAAATAATGTTTATAATAAGTGTTACTTGTAATGCATGGAAATCTTATTCATTGTTATACCAGTATTACCTAAAGCCTCATCCATTAGTACCAAGAGTAAAGTGTCTTACAGCATTTATAACAAATGGACTGATTCATCTGACACTTTTTTCGAATCATATTAGCACTATTGATGTTAATGAAAGCTTTTGGACTATTTGATGACCATTATGTATAATTCAGTAACCGACTAATCAGTTATAATCGAAATAACTGAATGACTGTTTCAAACTACTACTATGACTGTACTGAGTCATGCAAATTTATTTTGGGAAGCATGAACTTTCATATTTGGTATAATTAAATTATTTACGTTATTATTATTTTTATTCCCAGCTATCTCTGTATTTCAGTTTTCTTCTACTTTTTTCTCTTAGAATACTTAAAGTTTTGTCGTTCCAATTGTCCTGGTCATTTATACGATAAACCGGTTGTTATGAAAGCATTAGACAATCTGATTGACTTTGAACTGATTATATCTGGTAAAGCTGCAATCACTGCATCCATTGGTCTATCGACCGCTGGATCCAACAATAAGGCCATTTGGAGTTCATCATCTACTTTACCAAATTATCGTCCATTATTTTGTTATGTAGACAGTGATATTCTCACCGCTTGTTTAGATACTTATCCGAATTGTCCAGTTGAATTGCGATATTGGATACATTCAAGGACGTTTTGATTAATTTCTGTTATTTTCTACGTCTTTTTTCCGAAAAATGTTTAAATTACATTAGAGTGTAACATTATGTGCAATTGTACAAAATCCATTCAACAGTGTTTGTTTATTTCTATTCAATTGTAAATCTTCTGTCAATAAAACCATCAGAAAGTTTTGATTATAAAAGCCAAAGTTGGATTTCAGGAACAACTGAAGCCACACTTAGGCATTTTCGAAAACGAGGCTGACCCAGATGTTGCTTGGGAAGATGTACGAACAGCTACATTTTTTAGTAATCTGAACCAAAGGGTTACGGAAAACCAGTAGATTTCTGAAACATCTATTGCACTGATAGACTACCGTAAACCTATCCTATCATGCTCCAAGCACGATGAAGAGCGAAAACAAATCACATCTAAGCTAACCAAAAATCTACGAAACGATCGTGAGTGCTTGGCAACGAAAGCAAAATAGATGGGAAGGCAGTAGATGTAGGTGACACAAGACAGCTTTTCAGACTAATAAAGGAAACTGGATTTAGGAAGTTAAGTTTGAGTGAGACAATCACGGAGAATGACGGCACTTTTACATTCTCTCAGTCTAGAGGTTTGAAACTGAATGGAAAACTTTAAGATGCAGTTCAGCTACTTTACAACTATTCACTATTTCCAAACAGCCTGAATGGGACATTAAAATAGGTCCCCCGACTGTAATATAAGTTCCAAAAGCTATAAACAATCTGAAATGAGGAAGAGCAGCTGGCCCAGATGGATTAACTCCAAAGGTCTTTGAGGATGGTGGTCCAGCTTTAGCGATTAGGTTGACTAATATTTTAGCTAAGGTCTGGGAGTTGGACGTGATCTCATCTGACGGGTCACAATCACTCATCGTCCCAATATATAAGAGAGGGTCAAAATCATCCTGTGACAACCACAGAGGGACTAGTTTAACTAATATAATATCTAAAATACTAGCCTCGATAATTATCAGACGCCTAGCTTAGACTCGTGAACTGCAAACACGAGAGAACCAAGCTGGCTTTAGACCTGGTCGTGGCTGCATCGACCACATATTCACCATTCGTCAGGTTCTAGAACACAGACATACTTATCGACGTCCGACAATGGTGGTCTTTCTTGACCTGAAAGCAGCATTTGACTTTGTAAACCGCGAGATTCTGTGGCAGTGTCTATCATTGAAAGGTGTATCTCAGAAGTACATAAACCTTGTGAAGGATCTTTACTCGAACACTACTAGTCGAGTCAGAGCTTATGGCGAACTGTCATCTGCTTTTGCAACCTCAAGTGTTGTCCGTCAAGGCTGTCCATTTTTGTTTAACTTCATCATAGACCTATTGATGGAAATAACGCTCTCATCGACTGAATTTTCGGACATTGATCTCCTTCCAGGAGGTCCACTTATCGACTTAGAATACGCAGATGACATAGTCCTGTTTGTGAAGACGCTGATAAAATGCAGAGTCTTTTGGTAACAACAATGCCAGAACGTTTGGGATGCGCTTCTCATCCTCTAAATGCAAGTTGTTGCTTCAGGACTGGTCTGCGTCAACACCTGAACTAAAGATAGGGAGTGAAGTAGTCAAACACATCGACAACTTCATTTATATTGGAAGTTTGGTCGACCCTAATGGGTTGGGGTCTGACGAAATATCAGCACGGCTTCAAACAGCTCGTTCGTCTTTCGCCAACTTACGTCACTCATGGCGAAGGCGAGATATCCGTCTATCAATAAAAGAACGAGTATACTGCGCGGCAGTTCGTTCTGTTCTACTTTACGGCTGCGAAACGTGGTCAGTAAGAGTAGAAGATACTCGTAAGCTACTAATATTTGACCACAGATGCCTTAGAAATATTGCTGGGATCACCGGGTAAGTAATAGTGAGGTTAGACGCAGGGTATTAGGGAATGATGGTAAATCAGTTGATGAGGTTGTGAATCTTCATCGACTGAGATGGTTGGGCCACGTGTTGCGTATGTCTGAACACCGATTACCACGGCACGCAATGCTGTCTAGTGTTGGGGATGGTCGGAAGAAAGTTAGGAGCGGCCAAACCAAAACATGGCATCAGTGCTTGAAGTTACTAACTTCTGGTCTGAGTCATGTTGGTAGATGCAGACTACTTGTTTGGGGTCCGCGTAACTATCGCAACCAATTGTTGGAGTGACATGGCTCAGAATCGATCACAATGGAGTAGGTGTATACGCTCTTAGACTTCCCCTAAACGGTGAGATTAGAATTACTTTACCTTTTTTTCTACGAACTAATTCTTTCTCCCTGTATCATGTCCCTATATGAAATCTTTTTTATTACCACTGAAGTAACTGCTTCAATGAATTTGATGTTCATCTTGTTGAGCCTGGTCTTACGTCGTAAATGACTGAATGAAATATTTAGTGAATGACAGCAGATCCATTATTAGCCGTTTGGGGCCATTTCGTTCAGCCAGTCAACTAACTGTCTACTTAAATAAATCATTTCGTGAATCAATTGAACAGTTCACTGACCTTGTTTGAATGGTGTATGAATCTTCAGATTGCTTGATAGTCCTTTCCTGATATTTATTATGTGCCGGTCACTTTGACAGTCACCTCTTACACATCCATGAATCAGGCTATAAGGTAGTTGTTCAGATGTAAACTTTCAATTTCGAATCGTCTGGTTGGAACTCGAGTGTCTAAACTAAACGGACGACCGCCATTTATAAATGGGTGTATGGATGTTGGTTCGGTCATTTCGACTAAGTGATTTCGTGGTGTTAATTGTATTGGAAAAGTAAGCAAATGTCCACAAATTATATTATACAGTTTTTCTATTTATGATGCCGTTTGCCTATAATTATGGGATTATACTCAAGTTATCGTTTCATTAAAAGATGAACAAACTAATTTTACAGTCTTGTCAAACCTGAAACAAGGATAGTGTTAGCACATCATTACAAGTGATTGTTCAGAAGATTTGTCGTGGCTAAAGATTGCTGGCTATAATTTCAATCATGTGTATTCCATACGAATTATTCGGTAGTTATCAGTTGGTTTTGTGATAAAAAAGCTTTATCATTAACTAGGTAGTTAGTGTTGGAACAAATAACGTAAAAGGGAATGTGATAAGTGAGACCAATGAATTTGGTCTTGCACATCAACTATTATGGAATATGCAATGCTTTGATAAAGAAATTACGTTTATATTAAAAATAATTTTTTTACAATAAAAATATTTTCACTTTACAAATTAATTGAGTATAGGATCTTTTAGACGTGTAGGCCAGTCAAGTTCAACACCAATTACATCCAACGCTAATATATCTAATTGACAACCAAATATACTTGCTAAGCTAGGATTACACCGGCCAAGATCTCCATGAACAAGTTCTTTCACATAGGTGCCAGCTTCACAACGAATTTCTAATATGAACAGTTCATCTTCTGGATATAGTTTTGACCATGATTTAAAATCATCGAACTATGAATATAGAAAACAAGTAGATGTACAATATATCGTGAAACAAACAAATATTTGTCTGGAACATTAAGTTAGAAATAAAGCTTATACTTTTAAAGTTTACTTTTAGATAGAATCAGAAATTATTAATAGACATTTTGCTTGTGTTCTGGAGATCCTTTTTAAGTTGTATCTAACGTTAAAATTATAAAGTCTACTCTCAATTGGTAGTATTTAATGATAAACTGCTAATGTGCATACCGTTTTTTTACCCGGGTCGGGAATTTACAATTTCTCTCACAACTAGGATTGTGTTGGGGATGTTAGATCCCCAGAACTCACTTAGTAAATACCTCATTTTTGTAATTTTATTTTAAAAAGTTGAATTCCTTGTTTTCGCTCCAAAAGCGCTCATTTTCACCTTCATGTCGTATTTCCCACTTGGAAGAATCTTAAACGCTATTGGTTCTTTGCATTTTTTAGTATGCTATTCTGTAACACTTCCCAAGTACAATTTTATACAGTATATATACGTTTGATTTGTGCCTGTTGTTATTGCTCATGCTTCTGGCTGCTTGAGGAATATATTTCACCGTTTCGAACTTGGACTTCTCTCTCTAGTGAGCGGGGCTGGGACTCATCAGAATAGCTAGCTTATTGGTCTTCAGTCACAGAGTCTTTGTTCCATTCTCAGAATAGGCGAACTCATAATCGCTTCAAACATAGCAAATTGTGTATTGTTTTGCAGTTCATGAAGCTTATGTATGATATTCATCTATCTGATTATGCTCATAGACCAATTCTGATCATAGCTGTACAGATATAACGGAATATTTAATATTCAGGCATAAAATAAATGTAAGATTATGATATTGTTCAATCATATTCAAGATTAAAAATTCAGGGGCTAGATGGTTATGTTTTTCAGTGGTCCAGTTTAAATATGAGTTGATGAGTCATATTTCGGTTCAACAAGAGAACAAGATGTACCACGAAATCAATTCAACTGAAGATGTAATATCTAAGTCCAATCATTCACAAATATGTATCCGAACTAATAATAAAGTAATTGACAGAAACATATGTCAATAACTTATTTGAAAGATTGGAAAAACTAGTCGTACGAAGAAATCACTATGTTCCTATTAAAAATCCTTAGAAAGCACTTATGTAAACATTAAATTGACATAAACTATAAATATCTCAAAAGTGGTACAGTTAAGATCACTCAGAAGAATACTAGTCAAGGCAATGCTCATAGTTTGTGGTGTTTATTAAACTTTTTACTGATTCCATTTGTGATAGTAACTTACGAAGTAAGACAATGTACACTTTTTACTATCTCCTTACTTGTACAAATACTAAAAATAGACTGTTTCAATAAGGAAGGAATTGGCTAGCTTATTATTCATTAATGATTGTCATACTAACAAGAATAAATTAATCTAAAGTAAATTTTTATTCAGGTTGAAAAAAATATATTAAAAAGCAGTGGGCATTTAATTCATCCGTTTAACAGTGAGTGAATCAGTATGTCGTCTAGGTTATTTACAAGCAAATGG